TTGCCCGACGGTGGGGCATTTGATTGAAAATTTGCTCAAAAAATCAAATGCCCCACCTATGCCCAACCCCCCCCCCCCCTCTGGGGCTTAACATTGATAGGTGCATAATATTTTGCTGCGAGAGTTTAATTTCATTGGAGTCTGGCAAATGTGGCTTTAGCATGGACTGAGTTGCTTGTTCGCAAAGCAATATACATCGATCTCGCACCGAAACACCGTCTCTACCTTTAAAAAGCACAGATTTTGCTTTACCTTTATGCCATGTGACTACTAAGTCAGAGTTTGTGCTAGAAAACTTCTTCGACTGGCCCCCAGGCATTGAACTAAAAAATAACTGGAACGATACCTCCAACCGGAAATGTGAAGCCATGCCCAGGCATGCCCACTGTTGTCATGCCCAGTCTTTTCACGTAACGGGAATGAACGCGGGTTTTTTAAATTTCCAAAACTGGGTAAAAAAATGCACTAAAACATGGTTTAAGACGACGTAAAATGCACCTACCAGTACATTTTTTACAATAAAAACATCCTTCAAAACTCTAGAGTAAAATATTTTTAATTTATTTGTGTAGAATTCATAATTAAATTTCCTTTTTTGAGAAAAAACGTTGAGCGAGGAGTGGAGCTTGCCGTGGTCTAATCATAAGTATTTGTGTGAATTTCCCTATTTTGCTCATTCGTTTTCCAATTTATTCGTCTGAAAGTTAGGAAAAAAGGTATTCTAACAAGATCAAACTACCAACCACAGTTTAATTATGTTTTGTAGTAGAGTATTTATTAAGTTTTACAACAAATATAAACATTAAAAACATTAAGAAAGTTTTTTTCGCGGACAAGTATTTCATGTTGCGATTATTCACATTCGGCAAGAAATACACAGAACAAGTCGTCAACGAAGGCAAACAAAGTGATAGATACAGATTAAATAAACTTATCTTGTTTAACAATCAATGAAGTTGTTATAAATATATGTTTAATACGTTAAGATAAAGAATTACTTATCTTTCTCAAGTTTCATCTGCATATAAACGTTCCAGTCATTCAAATATGCACCTGTTGTCTCCAATCAGTTACTTTCTTCCTTGCAATTTTAGTCGGTAGGGTTCAAGATATGTTTTAAATACACTTTTAATACAAAAATATAGCTTAAAACCCTAAATAAACGACAATTTTCGATCCATTCGCCCGAGAAAAAACATTCAGTCCCTTCGCCGAAATGGTCTCGCGAGAATGTCTCGCAACACAAACGCGCGTGTCTGGAGGTAGAACACGCGCGGCTGGAGGTAAAATTTGGCTTCATCCGATCATAAGCCAATCCTATTGGAGGTAGCGTTCCAGGTATTTTTAGTTCACTGCCCCCAGGTGATGACCATTTGCCTTCGAGGCCCCACACTTCTCGTACAATTCGTTTTAAATTTGTTAAATCACCGGTCCACTTTAGACGTACTCTATCATAAGACATGCCAGGCAGTTTAGTGCAACTAGCACTAGTAAGAAAGGAATTCAGACAACTATTTTCATTTGTATTAGCAGCATTTTGATGGAGCTTATTAAGAGCACGTCCTTCCGCCATGACAGTCTAATACGGGGGGAGAGGCGGATGGACGGGGGGGGGACAGGTGGATGGACGGGGGGACAGGCGGATGGACGGGGGGGAGACGGCTTCATTTGACACGAAACTCAATTTTAAAATCAAATCCGCGTTTTGTTGAAAGGGATATATTAGGATATATTATAAAAGACTATTATTAATCGTAATAAATTGTCCGCGAAAAGTTGATAAAATACATGTGGAAATGCGGGGTTTTTCGAACCTTCGTAACGCTTGATATAAGGATAAAACGCGGATATGCTGCAACTTTCATGCTTAATTTTCTCAGTCATCTGGGTATGTAGTAATCTAATTTTATGCCAATGTAATGTGCTGATGAAATTTGCAGTTGTAATTTGCGTTTGCGTAAAAGTAGTCCGTACGGCAGTTGTCATATCTTAACGGGAATTTGAGTTATATTTAAACCGATAACTGCATTGAAAAGTCCTTGAAAAAACAGCACATTACATTGCATAAAATTAGATTACTACATACCCAGATAACAGAAAAAATTAAGCATGAAAGTTTTGCAATTGTAGCTAAATTAAATTTTCATTTGCGTAAAAGTAGGCCGTACGGCAATTGTCATATCTCTTAACGGGAATTTTAGGTATATTTAAACCGATAACTGCATTGAAAAGCGCTTGAAAAAATAGCACATTACATTGCATAAAATTAGATTACTACATACCCAGATGACTGAGAATATTAAGCATGAAAGTTGCAGCACATCCGCGTTTTATCCTTATATCAAGCGTCGGCGAAGGTTCGAAAAACCCCGCATTTCCACATGTATTTTATCAACTTTTCGCGGACAATTTATTACGCTTAATAATAGTCTTTTATAATATATCCTAATATATCCCTTTCAACAAAACGCGGATTTGATTTTAAAATTGAGTTTCGTGTCAAATGAAGCCGTCCCCCCCGTCCATCCGCCTGCCCCCCCGTCCATCCGCCTGTCCCCCCGTCCGTCCGTCCGTATCCGCATTTTTCAATTTTCCTGTAATTTACATTTTCGGCCGTTTCGTTTCGGTCGTTTCGTTTTGGTTGTTTCGTTTCGGTCGTTTCGTTTCGGTCGTTTCGATGGTTTCGGCCGTTTCGTTTCGGTCGTTTCGTTTCGACGTTTCGCCTTTTAGTACATGCCCTTGAGACCTTGTACTGCCTCAGCACTGAAATGTTTTTTGATAACGATAATTTACCAGTGTTTCTTGAATATTTTCCTTGTTTAACTAGTAGAACCGAACGTACAAGTGCATCAGAAGACTAAGCGAGAGTTTTGTGTAGAAAT